CATCACGAAAGAATAACATTAGGAAATTATTTTTATCAGATTCTTCAATTAAAATATCATTTAGAAATATAATTATAGAATACAATATGTTTCAAAAATTATCTTTATCAAAATTTTTGCTTTTAAAGATCCATTAATCAATTATAACTATTTACGAGTTTTATAGATTGATAGACGATCTATAAACATAAATTAAAACATATAATTTCTGACTATTTAATATTATTCTATAATTTCCATATTTATTATATATACAAATTATATCTAACAATGTTATACGAAGTACGCAAAACAAAATCAAATAATATTCAAATTGTCATTTATGTTAATATCTTTATTGATTGATATTATTGTCATAGAACTTAGTTTCGGACTTGACATTAGTCTAACACAAGGTCTTATTGTTCATCTAGTTTATCATTGTCAACAATCAATTTTATGTATGATTGTTCAGTCATAAAAAGTAACATTTTCATCATCAAATATGATTAATGCTTACATTGCAATAGTATATTCATGGTCTCGAATGATTACATAGTACTATAACAATACTCTGCACTATGATGGTTTCCATAAAGAATCCTATCAAATTATTATTAATACAATTCAATACGTTAATGGTTATACAAAAAGTTCTATTTGAATCGATGAGGATTTACAAACATTTTCATCTTGTACAAATTTCGTAATACATATATAAAATAATAAATTTATTCAAAAGTTTTTTTTTGTTTCTATCAACAATTGTCTTAAAACGATATAGTAGTACTAAAACTAATATCAAATTTTGATACTAACGTTCTTGTTGATCTATTTTGTTTACTATAGAAATAATCAATTATCAATTATTCTAAATGAATTTACCATTAGTCAGATATAGAAAACGATAATTTACTTCAAAAGCAACGATTCATATTCAAGGTTTACCATTATATTCTTTAACATTAAATAGTCAATTTTATACTGGTTATGGTACATTAAATACCTAGTAGCGTGATAGTGTGACAAAAAAAAAACTGATGACTTGCATGCAAATAATTCATGAATATAGAATGTATTATAAATATATTTGTTATTATATTCGAGTTTTCTAACATGAATCATTTATGAATAAGTAATCCTTTTAACAGTTTCTTAAAACAAAGAAAAAAAAAGCTATTTGGTTGAATAATATTGTATGATTTAAGTAAGCGTTCTTCAACTAAATTAACTATGCCACTCGGGATATTTCACTTATTTAAAAAACAAATTAAGGGAATTTGTGTGTCACAGAATTATTCAATTAGCAAAAAAAAAGAAACTAATTACCAAAATAATGACTTTTCTTTTTTTCTTTAGATAGAAGCTTTTCATATAAAGAAAAATTACAGAGAAAATAATTGTAGACCAGATCATATCTTTATAATTCGATAAAACTCAATAAAGACAAAAAAATATTTGTGCCATTTTTGTCCAAAAAAAAAGAGGAACTTTAAAAGCTAATAAAGTAAACTCAATGCACTACTTAAATGAAATACATTTGATGTTCTATGATATGATGTCGTAATTCTGTAGATACAAAATATACTATGATGAAAGAAATTATTTATTCTTTTCATAGCTTAGCTTTTTTGTTTTTGATGGATAATGTAATGAAACGATTGAATATTATTATATCTTGACCTTTTCTTCTCTAATTATATTTTAACAGAAACATTTCTAGCATTCATTTTTTTTTTTTTGTTCTCTTCTCTGATCTCAATAATTATTCTAGTTATATCATAGTTGTATAATAAAAATGTTCAACGACAGACAATCTGTTCGTTATTTCTCATATTATAGATATCATTCTGTTTTGAAAATTAACATTAACATCAAATAGTTAGTCATAGATAGTCACTAGATTTCTAGTAGGGTTTCTTTTATTGATTCGACATGTCCGGAGAGAAATAATTAAACAAATTTTTCTTCGAGTTATCAGACAGGATATAAATAATACTTTGATATTAGAATCAACAAGCCCGTTGTTCAAATTCAAAATTCATCTATATGTGATATGTCAACAATATAATGATCGTTATTTTTTTCTGCTAATTAGGTTTTCATTGAAACATGTCATAATGATCACGAATATCCTCTTATTACTAGAACAAATAATGGATAGACATATTCTCTAAATGTCAGTGATAATAGTTCAGCATGCTATTCAATTAAAATTTATATTTGAGTCAGTCACTACGGTGCACCTATATTTTCAATGCTGCAACGACATATATCAAATACTTTGTTTAATAATAATCATTCTATGGATTTATTATTGTTTTCTCGTTTTATTTTTAAAGAACATTTATAAGTATTTTTATTCAATATTTGAGATGGTGAATTGTATTTTTTTAATAAATACAAGCCAAAGGCAACGTGTTTAATAGTTATGTAGATTTTGACCTTCATGATATTTACTTATAAATAGATACCATAACTCAAATGAATATGTCGTTATTAAACACATTAACTTCTGAAAAATCCATGTTGTGAAAACCTTGACAATTTTCGAAAAAGTTACTGTAAAATTATAGTACAAGAAATGGTTTTTCGAGAATCACTGATTTTAGTAATTAATTGTGAATCGTCGATTTAATTAGAGAAATATTTCAAGACTGTAAAATTGAGAGTCAAATATAACTTCTACACATTTTTTTTTGAATATATACGAACAGTGGGGTAGTCTGAAATTTTTAAGTCATGAACCGTTTTCTCTAGCTAAATTGTTTTGAGAAGTGTGCAACTAGAAATCGATTGATCTACAGTTTCTTTTTCTTTGTAAATTATTGCCATCACAAAAAACGATGTTTATTGAAGAGAAGTTCGTTACTCTCAACTAACAGGCGAGCTTGTTCGTTTTTTTTGTGATTCGAAAAATACGACTAGTTTACTACCATAAAATTGCCATTGAACCGTAAATAATATCCATTTTGATTGACCTAGACTGTTTCACAAATTTTACTCTTCAACTTTCAAATATTTGAATATATTATGTTAAAAAGTATAAATAGAACCATTAGCGAATTTAAGTGGAGTAGCGAGCATTTTGACAAAACAAAAAACAAAGTATCGTCGAATTATCATCATTACGATCATCGATTTATTGAAAAACATAATCAATTAATCTTTCTGAATCACTTGATTAGATTACAACAACATACGATGTATTAAAATGACATCACTTAGGTCTTTGTACATGTATGTGTATCAAGGGTTTTCGGTATTGGGCAGCTGGTATTATTTCAAATAAATCCATAGGTAATTGCACAATAATCGTATCCCTAGCTACGCCACTGTATACAAATATGAAATCAAAAGAAACATTTACTTTCGATATGGATGTCACTACTATGGCATTAATGAGATTGGACAATTTCAGGAAACAATTTGTATTGACATACATTTATATCAGAATAAGTTTTTTGATTAATACATAGATGCAATTTTAAATGAACCCTTCAAATCTGACATTAATGTAAACTTGAAAAATCTCTTGCCTTTAAAATGACTTCTTCTATTGTCATTCTTTTAATCCTACTTTTTAATTGCGATTTCTATTCTTTTGTCTGTTTTAAAATTTTAATTTATTAGCAGAAAAAATATTATATGAATGGATTGGCTTCAGAAAAACAAATCCAATGCGGAATATCAATTTGAACATGTGAACTTTTTTTTTCAATTATATTCTTATTGAACTACAGGGTATCCCTAAAGTCCATCGGAAAAATAAATTCGTAGAATTTCACTATTTATCGGACATAATCAACTAATTTTTTTTTCGATAATAGATATAAGTGTGAAGTTTTTAATTCCATGGATGAACTACATAGATACTGTTCAAAGTTATAACTTTCGATTGAAATAGAAAAGCACTTCCCAATATTTCGCCTTTAATACTTTAATTTGTCGGGTTTTTTTGTCACAATTATATCGGCTACATTTTACTCTATCGTTTATATGCATTTGTTGTACCATATTATTAACAAAACAAACCTGATAATGTCAAGTTCGTTGTTCATGAAGCTCATAAAATCTGTTTACCTTTTCCAGATCACCAGTCTTCGTTCCACAAGTAAAAGCAATCTAATAGACTTGATGGTTGTCTAACTTGGCATTATCAGGTTTGTTTTGTTAATAATATGGTACAACAAATGCATATAAACGATAGAGTAAAATGTAGCCGATATAATTGTGACAAAAAACGTGACAAATTAAAGTATTAAAGGCGAAATATTGGGAAGTGCTTTTTCTATTTCAATCGAAAGTTATAACTTTGAACAGTATCTATGAAGTTCGTCCATGCAATCAAAAGCTTCACACTTATATCTATTATTGAAAAAAAAAATTAGTTGATTATGTAAGATAAATAGTGGAATTGTACGAATTCATTTTTCCGATGGATTTTTGGGACACCCTGTATATGTAATTGCATTGTGGTATCGTTTTCTTTCTAAAATTTTTTATTATATGTTTTACTCATGTGGAATAAAGTATAGGCACTCAATTTTTTGAATAAAAATATTCGTCATCATACATTAGTTCGATATAATGAAGAATAATCATCGATTATAAAGCTACGATTTATCACGTCTCAATTCACGATTATCGTTTCAATGTATCACGATTTTTTTTTGTCAATGTTTCAGCCATTTCGAGTACTTAGGCAAATTCATAAAATTATTTTCTCATTAAGTTCTTGTTTTCGATCATGTTTAACTCAACAAATCAAACTAATATCCGATATATATATATATATATATTTTACAAGAAGTACTTAACTTTGGAATGATTGTTTTCGTTTGAAAATAAGTTGATATCAATGATAAATTTATTTAACATATCACGAATGGTTGTATTGTATCTTAATTTTATTCGCGTCCATATTTTACCTTTTTTCTAAATGGCACGTAAATATACCTTGATAAACATATATCCATCAACATTTCGTGCTCTTGTTTTTTCGTGTAAATTATTCATCGATGAATATTTTACTCGTTTATGTATTTATTTTATTTAATGTTTCACAATATCAATGTGAAACACCATCATGCAAGTTTGTATTTTATTCATTTAACTAGTTATTTATCTTTTCAATTGAAATTTTTTTTTTATTTAAGAACAAATTGTACAACAATTGAAGAATGTTGGCATGAAGCTTTAGCTTATCGTTCATCAGAATTAATTGAGCAATTATTTTCATTTAGTAGTCTTTCTGTTCATATTGATACATTTCAACGACATCATCCTGGCGAAGTTTGTATTAAATTTTTTTTTTGCCTTTTGTTTTTCTTATATTCATATATATTCGATTATTAACATAGCTAAACGATAGTATATTACTTGTTGATAATGCACTTGAAAATCATTTATTAAATGAATCAATCGTTAGTAAACTAAATATAAATTTATTTCAAGCAACAAAACAACTTCTTATTGATTTAGTAAAATAAATATTCTTTTAATAAAATAAAAATTTTGGTTTTTTTTTGTAGTGTACAAATTTAACATTAAAACCAATTGAAACAGTTGAAGCTCTTCCAACATTAATGTGTTCATTATCAACATGTTCATCGGATTTAAGAAATTTTATGGTACTTTTTATAATTAGTATACTCATTGCTAGTTTAGTTCTTCTTATTTGTATTGTGCAATTGTTTCAAACATATCGTCGAGTGTATCCTGCAAAAAAAATTCCATTACTTGCTCCAAGTACAAATCAATTGTCAATTGATAATTCAACTGTTAACTTAAACTCTTCTGGTGTGTCATAATTATAAATAAATGAAAATGAAATACTTTAATATTCTAATTATTAATCTGAAAAAAATAGCTTTTTTTGTTTTTCATTTTGAGTTTTTTTGTTTTTAGATTTAAAAAATGTATTGGAATATCGGAGTAATTTCGATATTTCTTTGTACTATAATAATTGTTTTTGGACGTCGAGAATTATTTGACAAAAAATGCAAGTAAAAAATTATTTCAAAGATTGTTTTTTTTTTTCGTCAATTCTATCTATGAATTATTACAAGACGAAATTGTAATACTGCCGATGGTACACTTGAATGTTGGAAAACAACAACAGATGGTTTTGCTTATGGTTTATCTACAGCTATGATTGATTTTTGTCAAGTAATACTTGAAGTTCGTCATTTGAAAAATGAATCAGTTAGTTATGTTTTTCGTATGTTTCTTTAAATGAAGTGTGTTCTTTGTTTTTTTTTTTTTGAGATAAAGGAAGATTGGTATAATTTTACTCGTAATAAACTCGCACAGCAAATTGAAAAATACGAGCTTGATGAAGAAGTTCAACAATTAACAAAAGAAAATATCGAACATATTGCAATGTCTCTATTAGATAATGTAAGTATTTCTTATTCTTAATATATATATAATTTTGTCATTATTATCATTAGTGTTTTTATGCTTCATCATCTATTATTTCCTTGGAACCATCATGTCCATCATGTTCAGAAGCACAAACAAAACTAATGAAAGGGTGGGGTCTTTCATCAATAATTATTATCTCAATTGCTTTATTACTTGTTTTTATTATTTTACTTTTATATGCTTTCTATGTTTATCATACTCATCGTTCATATATATCAATTTAATAATAAATAATTCTTATCTTAATTATCCAAAAAGTTTTTTTTTCTCGTTCGAATAAAAATATTTTCATTGCTTTCAATGAAAATTAATAAAACGAAGGCAAACCCAAAGTCGATGATTGGTATTTGTTGTTGTTTTTTTCCTTCTTGGCAAAAAAATAGAGCGCAAGCAAAAGGGCACGAAAAAAAAAGAAAAAGAAAATTATGAAATAAAGAAAACAAAACAAAGAAAAAATCAATAAGACGGGATATGATAAAAGAAGAAATTTGGTGAATATATAGGAGAAGAATAATAAAAGCATTTTTATACATTTCCTTCTGCTATTCACATTCAAAATTAGGTACAACAGCATCTTCTTTTATTGTCATTTCATTATTATTATTCATACTACTATTATTATGATTATTTAACACAATTAAATCTTCATTAATTATTGAATTTGTAATTGATGTATGCATTGATATTGTTGATGCACTTCTATCACCACCAAACCAAACATGTCCAAGGATATCTTGAGTTAAAAGACGTTCTTCTGGTTTAACACGAATTAATGATCGAAGTAATGAACGTGCTTTTAATGATATTGTACGAGGAATATCAGGACGACATCGACCTATTTTAATAAATAAACCAACTAAAGTTCGATCACAAAATGGATAACGACCAAAAAGCATTGTATATAAAATAATACCTAAATATAAGGATTTGATTTTTGTTTTTTATTTTTACACAATAAAAGAAAAACTGGAAGAATTTCAAAGTACCTAAACTCCATGAATCAGCCATTTTGCCTGAATACATTTGTCTATTAAGAACAATTTCTGGACATGCATAAACTGGACATGAAAAACGTGATGATACATAATCATCTGTTGTTGTTGGAGTTGATAACATAATTGATTCATCAATTCCAGTTAATAATAAATGTGTATTTGCATTATCATTAAATATAATTTTACGTAATTTTAAATCACGTACAATTAAACCAACACGATGACATATTTGTACAGCACGTACAATTTGAGAAAATAAATTTCGTGATTCATTTTCATTTAAACGATGTTTTTCAGTTATATATTGATGAAGATTATTTGTATAATTTGGATATAAAACAATAGCCGTACGATCAAGTGATATAATATCACGAAAAAAATGTATATGATATTTATTAGCTAATTGCTCAATTGTTAATTGTGAATTCTTATTTGATAATTGTAATATTGTTATAAGACGTTGATAAGGTTCTAAACGTTGACGAACAATTTCAAGTGAAAATTCTTTATACAATAATGGTTCACCAGTTGGAATATGACGAGCACATTTAAAATCATCTAATTTTGTTTCACTTAATTCATATTCACCGATAGTACGTATTGAAGGTAATGATGGGAGATTTGTTGTAGCTAAGGCAGCAAATGGATTAAGAAGATGAATAGCATCCGGTGTCAAAGGACCTGATGGATCAGTTGATTGTGGAAATGGAGTTGATGGATTGGAATTTCTTGGAGACGAGGATATTTGTGTCAATAAACGAAGATCATCATGTTTAGCAGACGATGAATGATGTGATGTTTGAGACGAAGAAGTAGAAGAAGACATTATATGGACAAGAATAAACGAAACAAAAAAAAAAAATAATAATCAAAGTAAGCGACGAAGTAAAGAGAGTTTAATAAAAAATAAATAGAAGATAATTAGAACTGTTCACTACTATCTGACATCGGTATCGGTGAAATTACAGTTGCAGCAATACTAGAATTAAAAAAAAAAACAAGATATTATCTAATTAGTTTGACTAGCTAAGTTTACAAATAAACATAACATATAGAAAAGAGGGAAGAAAGAAAGTATTGTTGCGACATCAAACTACTATTGCGCAAGTCATCACCAAGTCCGGTGTATGGTTGTTCAATCATTTGCTAGAATTAGGAATGATGACTTACGCAATTCTTTTTCTTCTTTTTTTAGTTCAATTCATGTAAAAAGGAAAGGAATTTATTTTGTTCTTTCATTATCAAACAGAAATCTATTCAAGGTCATCAAAAGAAAAAAAAAAGAAGAAATTTCATCGAAATGAATTTCTTTCAATTCTTTATAATATAATTTTTATTAAATTCTAATCATTCTTTCGATAAAATATAATTATGTATTGTTAAATCAAAGAGAAATGAAAAATTCATGCATACAGATTTTGATAATACTCTCTTTGTCTATCTAATAAAAGTATTAGTTAGTTGTGATTACATTTATCTTAGTTGTTTTTCATTGATACACATCTGTTTGTGGCAGTATGTATGTTCATGACCTTCCATTCGTACATCAAGTCGACAAGGATATTGTCTCGTTCATTCCTTCTTTTCTTTTTTTTTTTTTATTATTCTTCTTTGTCAATGTTCGATTGGCATTAAACATTCACACTGTATGACGAGAGAATCTACTTGTGTCTAATAGATCATATATCAAGTACTAGATGACGGCAAGGCATATTAAGGTTAAACAAAATGACGAACAATTATGAACTCAGAGAACAATATGACCTTACCCAAATTCAATCGTGTTTGTAGGTGCAAATGATCCAGAGCCAGAGAAATTAGTTGCCAAAAACCCAAAAGATAAAACCGATTTAGCCAAAGATCCAAAATGTGAAGAGCCGGTTGAATATTTTGATATGTTGCGTGCCATTCTTATAACGTATTAATCATACAAAATAAAAATTAATTCAACTTCTTCTCTCTATATATATATTTATGTCAGAAAATTTTGTAAGAAAAACTTAGTTTCTTTTTTTCTTCTTGTTGACGACAATTGTTTTCTATGTAATGTGCGCGTGTATAGATTAGAAAGCGAGAAAGAATGAATTTATATAGCGAGTCTATGGCGTCGTTCTCTTTTTTTTTATATTCGTTCTATAAAGGAAGAAAAAGAAACCAACACGATCAACACTAGATTGACATGCAATACTAACATCGAACCTCTTTTTTTCTTCTCTGGTTACCCTTCTCCGCCTTTTTTTTTACCCGTCTCTCTTTTTTTCTCTCGCTCTTTCTCTCTTGCGAAGTTTTAGAGATTGCAACAAATGATGACGACACCAAGCGTCATCGTCATATTACCCATTTACCAACTACGAAATGATAAACAACAATATTAAGGGAAAATGCTCACACGGAGGCACACACGTGCAGAAAGCAAAAGAAACCAGAATGACGACATGTCAAATAATTTTTTTAGATTTAACAGCTTGCGTCTAGAAAATGAGAACAATCTAGAGTTACCTACATAAACATGAGTCATGATTAAAAAATCACGATAAAACATTTTTCTTTCTTCCCCACATTTTCATGTCGAGTTTTGCCAGTAGAACGAGTCATATTTTTATCAAAAGAATGAACAAATTTCATCATCTGTTACTTTGTTTCTTTTTTTTTATCTTCTTCGGTTGAAATGAATAATTTCAAGAGTAGGCGTCTTCTATTGAAATATTATCATGGTCATTATTTTGGACATTGTCCAGAAAGTTATCTATGATATTTTTATACAACAATTGTTTGCATATCATTTTATGTAGAATATATTCCCAATAATTGATCTTAGTAAGATTAATAAGTGACATTATGTTATCTTGGTTTTGATTATACTTCTTCAAAGAAGAAGACACTCACATATGAACATGTTAAGTAACTCGGCATAGTACGATGATATAACAGAGACACATATGTATACACGCTCCGATCATTTTCAATGGATTTGAAAGAAACAAATTCATCTTGTTCTCATACATCATCTCGTCCTCTTTTTTCTCTTCTCTCTCTCTCTCTCTTTCTCTTTCCCTTCTTTTTTTACATAATCATCAGAAGGAAAATGTTGTAACAACATACGTCTTTACTATAGTTTAGTGACTAGTACGGCGATTATTAGCATTTGACTGGGGTGGTAGCTTGATCTAAGCATAACACATTTTATGTAACTCTCCTCTTACACTATCATCTCTTTACAATAGACATTAGATTCGAAAGTATACTAAATGAGCGATCCATCGTTATCGATTACGTAATTTGTAAGGAACTATAATCATGTTACGAAATAGAATGAATGTACAAAAAAAAAAAGTCAAACATCTACACAAGGCAAGCACTTGCCACTGCTAAATGGACGCGGCGACGTGATTTACGTAATCGACTAAGGTTATGTAAAAAGAAAAAAGGGAAGAAAAAAGACGACGTCGTCATCAAGGACAAGGCCATTAGTTCATGATGATATTCTTTTGTTCTTTAGGTAATAGCGGAAATAAAATGTTTGTTCTTGAACAGCAATATGATTATGAAATTCTATGGACAACACAAAAGAAAATGAGAAAATGTATTTGACGTATGTATGCTAAAGGTTATTGATAAAGATCAATATTGATAAAAATCTAAAATAGTTCATTACGATAATTCAAAGAAAGATGTAACTATAAAAATTATGAGGATTGTAGCGAAATCAACAAATGCATTTAATCGATTATTATTCATGAATCATCTAATGCGTATACAATTTAAAATAACTAAAATTATTACTAATTTTTCTAATGAATCGTTCAAAGTATTACGTCAAGTCGAAAAAAAAAATCTAATAATCATACGAATGAATCATTCGAATCTTACACAATTCTACTGTTAACTTTGATTGGTTTGTTTTTTTTTATATTGATTCATACCTTTTTTTTTTACCAAATAATTATACAAGAGAATAACATAAAATACCTCGAGAGGGTAAAGTTTAAATTTCGCAATTTTTTAAGATACAACGATTAACATTTGCCCTTTATAATCTTCAATCATAAAATAATAATATCATATTCAAGAAAATAAATTTTATATATCCTAAAATTAACATATGTTTTTAGGAAGTTGCAAGTTCAGAAGCTTAGCTTTTCTTAGATCCGAATCCATAAAAAAAAAACATAGACTCACAGCTCCCTACTTGCCTGATCTCGTTTATATAAACTATTCCATAGAGCTGAAGATTTTTGTGTTAGTATTTCTTTTTTCTTCTCGAGAGAATAACCAATAAACAATTAAAAATCTTGATCCTTCACTTTTCCATGTATACAAATGGTGTCAGATATTCATGGAAGAAAAACTTCGGATCCGAATTCACAAAAACATGAACCCACAGGTCTTTACATGTGATCTATAACTTTCCTTTTGAATTTTTTAATAATAACATTTTTTTATTGTTTTCTTTTCTTCTTTTTTTTCAATCTTAATCTCTGTTTTCATGTGAACAAGGTTCTACAAACATAGTCTTCATCTTCTCAATGGACAACAAATTGTGTATATGATGATAAAAAGAAGACACATTAACAAAAAAAAAAAAAAAAGGAAAATTCGCTGATTCATTGAATATCAAGAATGCTCAATCATAATCACCTAAAATATGACGAAGAAAAAAAAACTATTAAGGTTTTTTTTATGTAATTTCAATCTACTTACTGTAATCGATTGGTTCAGCATCTTCATCAACATTTAAATTTTGTAGATCAACTTTATAACGAAGTATACCTCCAACACCACCAAAACCTCGAACAAATTGTGAACCTTCTTGACTTTTATCCGTAACAATTTCAAGAGTTGTACCTTTTTAATAGAAAATATTTTTAAAAAAAAAGAAAAGAAAAACATTTTTTTTTACTTACCAAAATTTTTATAATTATTTGCAAACCATTCAAGTAAAGGCATTTCTTCCACATGTTCTAATTCAACACCTGTATCTTTATCTTGAAAATGTGATTTTTCTTTTTCTTGATCAGAACGTAAAAATAAAATTTTTGTTTCTTGTGTTTGAGGATTACGTAAAACATAACGCATAACATCAAAATTTTCCCAAACAATTAAAATTTCAACAGCACCCATTTCAAGAGCTTTAAGAGTTTCTTCAATACCGAAACAATATTGACCTGAATCTCTTGATACTTCATCAAAATATCGAGCTTAAAAAAAAACGAAAAATAAAAGAATTATCGTTGTTTTTTTTTTGATATATTTACAAATAAGTTTTTTTTCTTGAATAAATTTCACATCACCAAGTGTTTCAGCAGCTAATTCAATAGCTTGATTAAAACCATTTTCACCACCATATGATACATCAACTCGTTTTAATACTTTAGCTTGAAGACGCTTAAAAAAAATAAAATTATTTCATAAGACATATATATATATATATTTATTTATTTAATACTTACTGGATCAAACATATCAGATTGATGAAGTTCAGTTTTAAAATCAGCTAAACCAGCAAGAATTATTCCAGTTACATTTACTTTATCATCTGTTATAAAACATTGTACAGCTGTTTCAGCAACTTTTCGTACATAATTATGACGTTTTTCCATACGAAGTCGAGCAAATCGAAGTGCACTTTGACCACCACGACCATGTTTTTTTGGTAAATCAACAGCAAATTTTGTTATAACTTCTCGAGAATTACCTTGTAAAGTACCAAATAATGCACCATTACCATCCATAACAATAAAACCAAAACGAGAATCATCAGCAAGTAATGCTTGTAATGCCTTAAAAAAACAAACAAAAACAACTTCTAATGTTTATTATTCAATCTATAAACATGAACAATTCTCATTGAATTCAAACATAAAAATCTCTTAGGATTATAAATGCAATCAATTATTATTTGTTAATAATCGATTTTCGACATATTGAATAGTTTTCTCTTGAGCAATGATAAGGATATTTTTTTTTTGTTTCTTCTCACTAATAATTTGAAATGAATATTATAGTAGAAATAGTTTAGTCATCAGGACCAAGACAAAAAGTTGTTCTAAGTAGAACTAAAGATACTCTATGAATCTAAGCGAATTATTTTATAAATTATCAGAACATAATGACCCTAATCGTTGATTAAATAAATCTAAAAACAACTTTTTTGAATTAATTCTGAAATAATTTTTTCTAGATCGAAACCAAGAAATAATCTTAATTTTGCAAATCTTTAGTTATAATTCAATTAAAGTTTCATCATATCTGATAGATAAAATAAATGTTCAGAATTTTCTGTTGTGCTTCCTCATGTTAAAAGATCAATAGAATTTAACAAAAAGTCTTTAATCTCAGGATTCATCAGATGTCGACAATTCGAACTTTCTTTTTTATCATGTTAGAATAGAGTGCATCGATTTGCTTCCAAGAAAAACCTTGTTTATGTAGTGAAACATACGAAAATTAGATTAAAAAAGAGAATCAGAAAAGTTTTAAAAAATTGAAAGACATTAAAAGTATCAAATCTCGATAGACTCAATACTTATTCAGCATTGTTTAATGAATATCATATTCAAAATCAACACATAAATCTGCATCGAATAGTATACTAAATATTGAAAACAAATTTTTGTCAGATTTTGCCCTTGGGGAAACTACAGGTCAAATTATATGAGAACAAACAGTGAAGGGAGTGGAAGGGCCAAAAGTGTGCGAAAATTTACTTAAAGTATTAAGTATACTAATCAATGCAAATTTATTTAGTGACTCTTAATATATTTAGTTTATTCGTAATGATCGAAATTTATGAATAGAAATTCATATTTATGGCGTTTTGCTATCCAATCAAATTTCTCTATGAATTGAATAATACGTTTCAAAATTTATCCGAGTAAAACAGAAATATAATTTTCATATTAATATTTCGAAAGTCAATGTATATAGTATAGCGAATAGATTTTTAAAATTTATTAATCGTACCATCTTCTTTCATTTGATACTTCTTTATCTATCATGAATACATACTTCAGTATGAAATTTATTGTCACAAAGATAAAGTGAAGTATTGATTGGTTTGAAAGGTTCAAAATCAATGTTGACCTTTTTTTCTTTACCATCTTCTGTCACTATTGTACCACAATAAATAACAAGTCCATTATTAGGTACTTAAAAGAAAAAAAAAAGATATATTCATATCAAAATACGATTTATTTTGATGCTTCTATACAATACACACATTCTCACTTTGTGCTGTATCATTAAATTTCGTGTGTGTATCGTGTAGAAGAATCTTTATTCTAATAATACCTTTATTATAAAGCTTTAGTCGAGCTTGTACAGACGTAATAGCAGAAAGAACAGATAATCTATTAACACGTGATTTTATATTTGATGCTGTGCCATATTCATCTGCAAGCATTTTTGCTATACGTGGTACTTGATCACGAGGTGGAATAATCAATGAAATCATACTTGTGCCATTTCTAAAAACGAATAAATAAGATAAAGAAAAAAAAAAGATAAATCATATTAATACCCTCTGGCTGCTTCCAAGCTTTTGATTAATTTTTTAATTTTCCAAATTTCAACATTTTTATCTGATGTTTCTTGTGGTTGTTCAGCCATAGGATCAAATTTATCAACACCGGGATAGTGAAAGTAATCGTAGAATTAATTGGAAATACAAATGCACACACACGCACACAAACAAATTTTCCGAGGAAGAAATAAAAAAGATTTTATTTTTTGTCTATTTGAGCAAAGAACAAAAAAAATTGTGATGAACGTTTAAGAAATTATTTTATCAAGCACGTAGATGCACGTCAATCGTTGTCACGATGTGAGAGAGCGGAGGGTCAGTTTATGAAAAAGTCATGAAGAATAAACATAACAACAGGCAAATATATAGAAAGATTGTGGCGCAAGAATTTCAGTTGATGATTGAGACACCAGTATTACAATGTCGTAATTTTCATCGGCTCAATAGAAAAAAAATTTCGCAATTTGATTTCGTAATTTCTTTTTCTTATTGGAAAGAATATTCTTGAGTAAAAATTAGAATAAATAAACATTAACATTATCAACAGATGGAGCTGTATAATGAACAAAAAATAATCAAACTAATTTTAAATATGAATATAACAGCACTACTTACTATTCCGATGTTGGAAATCCAACCGCAATTGAGATGGAATCCGAAGAAAATTCAAGACATTCTACAATGAGAATGGCTCGAAACACTACACACAATCTTACTTGTAGGGTTACAATGATTGACACATACAATAGCAACTCAAGAGCACTAAACACTGAATTCTAGAGATGTACAAGATAAGCTTTTTTCGTACCTTGTATGTCAGGTCCGAAATTTTCGAATCCGGGCCCAGGAGCAATTCGATGAGCTCTATCTTGCACATCTCTAGTGCATTCCACTTGATCTTCTTGAATTTTCAATTTCTAGATGGTAGATATATCTCTTTCTACATATATATTGATCAACAGCGTTTGTTTTGTTTCACTTGATTTGTAAATATCGAATTTTATAAGTGAATGTGCCATATTTATTGTTTGAAAATTTTGAATCGTTCATTTCTGGATAAAGAAGATTTATTGACTGAAATCTATTTCTCAACAACAATAAAATCACAATTAGCTAACTCAACATTCTTAACTTAAATATTCAAAAATCAGAAAGTAATTTTAACATATAGTATAACAAATTTCAATAGTTGATAATGTAGTTATTCTAAATGATATTGATAAATATTCTCTAGCAACACAAATAAATTCTTCATATTTCGCACCAAGATTGTTGTTGTTGTTGTTGTTTTTTTAATTCGATTGATTATATAATTATTTTCGTTTTGAATTTTATTTTCTTTACATATTCTCTTTTAATGTTACTCTTATTTCAATTATCTATTTACTAAATGTTTCTAGATGATAAATCTATTAAATATAAAAAAGTTAACAATCATATTGATTTATTATCATCTACATTAAAAGGAAATGTTATCAAACAAGCAGCATCGAAACTTTTACAACATGTAACATTAAATAAAAATTTTTATTATCTAACACAAAATATTAATGGAAATGCATTTGATGATTATCATACATCATCAAATTATATTCAACAAAATAAAAAAGAATTTCAACGAACAGATAAATGTAATTCATGGTTATCAAAATTTCCTACAAAAAGTGATACATCTCTTAATCAGTAAATCTAATAGATTAATTATAATTAATATATATAAATATTTATTTTAGATTACCTATATTTATTAAATCTTCATTATATAAACATCAATCACGTGATTATTTATCACCTATTGATATTTATCCTCAAACTAAATATTCAAATATTTCAATGAATCAATCTCATTATATGCCTTTACAATTTCATTCAAATCCGATTATATTATCAAGTAATGCTATTCCGAATGATATTAATCCACAATATGAACCATTTTCTCAACCTCTTATGGTAAGGTACAAAAAAGATAAAAAATACACTTTTAATTATGAATTTTTTTTTTCGAGTATTATCTCTTCTTCTATGTTTCTATATAATACACAACCCCTCATCCATATTCATACAGCCCTTTGTTTTTTTTTTAGAGATCAAACAGGTTAATGTATATGATCAAAGCAATTAGTAAATAGGGTGCGTGCATCTACGGAAAAACTACGTATTCATTTAAGGGTATCCCGCTCTCCTTGCGTGACCTGACATTTTTTTTTTTTTGGCGATTATGTAGTCTGAAGTAGTATCTATATACTGAGTATATTTTGAAATCACGTTTTTCTTAAGCCAACTTTTTCATGAAAAGAAAAAAGTGCAGAAACATTCCATTTCTGCGACTTAGTACGTCCAATCAAGTTGAAACTTTTTTCACGTATACAGTACATTGTTTGGAATGTGTATTTTCTTTTGTTTCAAAAAAAAAAAGTATTGTTCTGCTAATTTTTACTAGCTCTATTCAAGAAAACATAGTTTTTTTTAACGGTACCTTCAATATTTTGGCTTTTTTATTCGAAGGACAAAAAATGAAAAAAAAATATCCACCTTAAATATTGTCTAGTACATGTAAAAAAATTTTCAGCTCGGTCAAACATACCATTTCGGAGAAACGGAGACGAAAATTAGGGTTATTGTGATCTTCGTATTTCAGAGAAGACAGCATCCGTAATGACAACTTTTGCTCTACTCGTCCAGATATACATATTATTTGCTTTGTACATTATATTTTGCGTTCTTATTCAAGTTAATGATACTCTTAACTAATTGAACCTGATTGACAGTGAGGATAGATCAAAAATAGTGTTATCTGTTGAAAAAAAAAATTAATAATTCAAACAAATAATCATTTATATTTTAGGTGATACATAAAAAACGTCTTCGTCGTGATTATTTTCTGTCTACAATGCAAAATTGTATACAACCTCCATATAGTCAAAATCACTTTTATGCATTTGATCAAATAAATATGCTTAAACTACAACGTAATCTTCATACAAATAATTATGAAAAAGATAATAATCAACCTCATCATCTTCGAAATTATGATTCAGATTTAAAACGAAAATATTTTGAAATTTATAATGATGATAAATCACAATGTCATTGTTCAGATATTCAATATGATCAAATATCTTTATCTAAAAAACAACATTTATCTTCTCCTATTGAACAATCTTCATCAAAAATAATTGATCATATAAATATAAATAAATATCATGATGAATTAAAAAATTCATTTATATTTAATGAAAAATTTGAAAAAGATTTAACAAAAGAAAATCAAACATTAGAACAATCAAATATAATTATATCACATTTAGAAAAAATTTTAAATTTATGCGGAGAATTACGAACATTAGCTAAAGATGTAGAAAATCATCTTAATGATAAAACTATATCATCAAATATGATTAATAATAAAAATCCAATAGATATACCTGAATCTGATCAAACAACAACAGTAACAATTGATATTCAACAAACAATAAATGATATTAATGAAAAAAATGCATCACCACCATATCAACTTACTAATGATACATTATCAATACATTCTGAAAGTAATAAATCTCATCCATTCATGGTTTGTTTTATTAATAATAAAATTCTATTGAATTGAATTATTTAAATCTTTTTTTTGTTTTGTTTTAGCAAACAGAATCATTTAAAACCAAATCACCTAGTCTAACAACTTCACATACAACATTACGTAGATCTGAAGATATTTGTTCATGTTTTTTAAAATCATTTTTTGATAAACAAAATTGTGATTTAAATATTGATGAACAAGAATATTTAAATGAACTTACAAAAGCTTATTTACTTGGTAAACAACAAATACTTAAAGAACAACAAGAGGTTAGATTTCAATAAGAGACATTCAATAAATCAATTATATTTATTTTAAGGAAAATAATAAATTTCAAATATTGAAAAATGAAACTCTTCCAGGAAAACAACAAGAATCTAATGATCTATCATCTTTAGTATTTGATACTAATAATAATAATCAATCAATCACACCTCCTAGTCCATCATCTATTTTATTCTATAATAACTTTCAAAAGTTAGATAATCCTCTATCATCTATACCGAATAATTCAACAATTTCATTAGTTGAAAATGATCAACAACAACAATTATCTACTCCATCTGGGATGATTAGTTCTAAACATGAAATATTTATTAATGAACCAATTGCAATGAAAACAACAAATGTCTTACCTGGTATTGGAATTAAATATGCTCAACAATTAGCTGAATATGGTTTTACAACAGTACGACGTTTACTTGGTTTTTATTTAATGATTAAAGATGATCAACATTTTGTCATTTGGCTTAATAATAAAGTAGGAATATCAATACATTCAGCTTGGTTATGTACAAATGCACTTCGAGCTTGGTGTGAAGTACATCTTTAAATTTCATGTATTTTCATTGGTCTCTATTATTCATTTTCTTTTTGGTTTTTAATTAAAGACACATAATTTTATAAAATATTTTTCGAAATAGATTTAATACTTTCAAAAATAGAAAATTTTAAAACATACAAACTTTGAAATATTTATCCATGTTAAATAATATCAAGAGAGAAACAGCAGACTTCATGGGATTTACCTAATTAAGGCCCCCACCCCCTCAAAAATCGATCTCGGCCTCGAAACATTCAAATGACCTGACATTTGGAGGATATGTTGGGGCTATACTGAAAAAGCTATGATAACATTTTGAGCCCTAAATATTGAGTTTTGAGAGAGATATTGACCATACAAGGCTCAAAAATAGGTCATTGGACGACCCATTTTTCTCTGTCCAGGCTCAGTCAATGTATTAATTTTTTTTATTTAAAAAAGCATCTCAAGATGCAGGGCAGTACGAAATCCTTTTTTTTAAATATTCGCTTTTTAAGTGTGAAAAGGGGATCACAAGTTAAATGACTGAAAAAGCACTCGAAAAATGGTCACCAAATTATTTAAGTACCTGTATATATAATAAAAAAAGTACTTAATTCAAAAATCGGACCTCGTTCTGCCCTGCATCTTGACACGCTCTTTCAAGAAAAAAGAAATATTAATACATTAATTGAGCCTGGAAAGAGAAAAATTGGATGCGCGTTTGAGAAAGTGAAAAATGAGAAAAAACGAAAAATATTTTTCGTTTTTTTCAAAATAAGCATGGTTTTCAAGAAGACGTTAACGAAAATCATAAAAAATTTTGTCCTAAAAATGTGTGTCACCTTAAAAATCTTATTGTTTCTGAAAGATCTGAAGATGGGCTATCTTTCCATGCATTTATCTCAATTTCGAAATTTTTGACGAAAATTGAGTTTTTTTAACGGATGGAGGGGGGGGGGGGTCTTAATGTCAAAATGTTAAAGTCTCGAATTACAAAAAAGTATCCGAAGTAAAATTATCGAAATAAATGTTTTTTATAATAGTTTTGATGTGTGAAATTACTACCGTGAAAAATCAAAACATAAATAGTCAATTACTGAAACAAAGATAACGCTATCAGTCCATTGATACGGTATAATGAGTGTGTAGGTGGACGCATTCTCTCTTCATTTTTACTTACCCATACTCACGGAAAAAAATAGATATGAAACAGATGCATAATTCAAGTTAATTTGCTAATTAAAGTTCTCTCTATTTTTCATGTTTGCGTTTGGTAAACAACATTTATTTTTTCTGAAGAATATTAAGTGTATAATTGAAATAAATATATTGAATTGTTTATCATAAACGAAATAATAATTTGTATTGTTTCGACATTTAAATAAGGGTGAGTGTGGGTGTGGGGTGGGTGCGGGTGTCATACCTCTCTTTACTCACACCCACACCCTTCGATCAACTTGAATTATCATCAGTCCATCATATATAAATAATCTTTATTTCTGCATAATATTAAAATTAAGATGATCATATTTCTACTCATATTAAACTATCTCTAATATGAAATTTACTTTTATTCGACTCATATAACTAAACTTAAATATGACATCAATTTGATTGTACTCGAATAAATAATGTCTTCATCTAACACTAGAATTTATGAGCTGATTATTGGAGATGTTCTCACACTTAATTTGACAATAAAACATAATTATGTTGTTCTACTTAATCGGAGTTTATACCTTCTAATTTATGTTGAACTGTCATAGAAAGATGATGGCTTATGGTTCAACTAGCAGTTGCAGAATTCTTATCCAGTAGAATTCAGAGTTTTGTAGACTTGTACATTTTTTCGTACTATATGTGTTAATATAGAATTCTGTTATTCCTTTTCATTTCTGAATAAAATTCTGTATTAAGCAGAATTCTGATATACTATATGTGTGTATGAAGTTTTAGATAACCATTGCGTTATATGTCATGAAGTTTGAATTCTGCTAGATGTAATAGAATTCTATGGAAATTCTAACAAAATTCTGCTGTACTGTATTAATGTAGAATTCTATTGTAATACATTATTTACCGACTGGATTTTTAAATTCTGAATTCTGCAGCCCCTCGGTTCAACATGTACCTTTCTTCAACTCATGTTCATCAAATGGTCATATAATAACATTTCAATTATTTCTATTGTTTGTCCTTTGTTTTTTTTCCTTTTTTTGTGTTTTGTTCGCGTTTTCGAGTCTTGCTGTCTGATCAAAAAAGGAGAATTGTTTTTGTTAGTGATGTGAGAGATGCTCCACCCTAAGACCAAGGTCGACACTCTCCACATTAACTTGAGCAATTACTCTTTCGTGATCAAACAACAAAAGTTAATCTTTCACTTTATTCCTAATGATGTGCACCTTACAGGGCACGAAAGCTTGAATGTAAATATTTTTCAAATGAAAAATTAAAGCAAGAAAAAATAATTTTTACAGCAGTTATCTCTTTCTTTTTCTCTTATTTACGTGATGTATTTGATGATGCTATTCGTGCATTAGAAAAAGAAAATTTTCTTGTTGCAACTAATCATACTATTCGAATTGTTACATTCGGTAAAACGAATCTTGGTTAAAAAATTCAATTTATTTTTCTTATGCATAGAGATCATACATAGGAGCGAAGAAGAAGCATCTTTATTAGATTTATCTCAACGTATTGAACAAGCACAAACACCTGTAAGAGAAACATCTACAAATTTATTTATTTAAGCATAATTATTTAGGATGAATTGCGTGAATTAATACAACACATCTATTCATTGATTGATGAGACCAAAGAAAGTATTAAACAAGCAGAAGGTAAAAATATACAAGCGTTAGATGATACACTAAAACAATTTCAATCTTATTTGGAAACGATCCTGGATCGTGTTGATAAAATTCTCGATGAAAACTTATCAAATTTAAATGATGACGATGATGATGATGATGGTTTTCTTTTTTTTCGTGCTTTTTTGTGTGTAAATGAAGTTATGTATTTATTTAATTTAATGAAAAAAAATCAAATAAAAATATTTGGTCTATAAAGGTGTAATAAATTGTTTTGATTTTTTGATAATCAAGACATTTGAGTGAAATTCTAATTATATAAATAAAGATTAATAATTCTATTTTTTTTCTAATAATTATTTAACTTACTTGAAACGATTTTCATCAATGCGTACTTTATTAAATGTTTTTTTCCATTAGCACCATTACTTTCGTCATTCGTTAAAACAGTACTTAAATCTTGTGTTGTACCTAGTTATTTTATCTACCACCATTAACAATCTAAAAATAAAAGTAAAAATATTGATTGATGAATAATAAAAAAGAAATCATATTCATAAATATTATACCTGACGCAATAACACTAATTTTCGAATATTGATTTTTAGCTGAAAATGTTGTAATTCGAACAACTTAAAAGAAAAAAATATTTCTAAAATAAAAATTGATTTTTTAAAAAGCTAAATATATACTTAATGAACATTAATACATTTTAAACGATTAGCAAGTGAAAGAGAAGATCTACCAGTAAATTGATTATCTTCTAAATAATATTTTATGCCAAATACAATAGCTGTTAATACTTTATTATCATCAAATTTGCCTAACTATAAATAAGAAAATCAAAAACTTATTTTTTTCAAAAAGATTTTCTTCTGATAGCTTACAAAACTAATTTAATAATGATTCCATACGATTGCAAGCACCATCTGATTGTGCATAAACGTTGAATAGTATCACTATTATCCATTGATGATAAATGGCATATTTTTTGTATGAATCATTTATTTTATAAATTGATGAAGAAAACAATATATATATGAGCATACCTATTTATCAACCAAAATAAATTTAGACCTTGATATTTTCTTTTTCTTTTATGAATAAAATACACAAAAGAGCAAGATGTCAGAGAATGTAAATGCAATCATGACGTTAAAAGATTGTGTCTATGAAAAATATTGCTTACGAACAGAAATAAATATTAAAAAAAGACTGTTCTAGATGATAGGCGTGTTTGACAATGGTTGTTTTTCTTCACTATTCCAGGCAATTGACATGAGTGAAATCAAGCGAAACGTACAAATACATATACATGATAGAAAATGATTGTTACGAAAGAAAAGCTTATCGTTCTTTCTTTTTGCTACATCATTTTTTTTCTCATCTATACAATTAGTCATCTGTATAAATAATATTGAAGAAAAAAAAAAATTTTTTTTAGATATATTACATATCTATGATTCATTCTAATTTCGTATATCATAATGATGAAAATCAAAATAATACATACTATTGGAAATGTAGTTTTTTTGTCAATCATAAAACATGTAAACGCCGTAAAGCGTGGCAAGTTAAAATACTTTACAAAAAATACAAAAAAAGTCGATGTACTTTTTTTTACTGATGTTATAGAGTACATTTCATTAATAATTCAATAGAAATAATGGACTATCCTGCACCAGCATATGGTATAGTTGCTCCACCAGTTGAATTTAGTAAAACAAAGTTTATTATTATTATTGTTTTTATTGTTGTTATTTTTGGACTGTTAATCCTTGGTGCTATAGCTATTGCATTAGGTGTTGGCCTTGGAGTTGGTTTATCAAGAAGACATGATGATTCATCAAGTAGTAGTAGTAGTAATAGTAATACTGATAGTTATTCGATTCTCTCACCGCCTACAGTCACTTGTACTTATGGTGGTTCAACTACATGTGGATGTGCTGCAACAAAACCATCATTTTTAACACCAAGAATAATTCAAGGTTATACTGCAACAGCTTATTCTTGGCCATGGATTGTAGCACTTTATATAGATAATGATAAAGCATTCTGTGGAGGATTTCTTATATCTTATCAACATGTTATGACAGCAGCTCATTGTGTAGAGGATATAATACCGAGTACAATTACAGTTTATGCTGGTATACAAACACTTTCATCACGAAGTAGTGGTCAATCTCGTGTTGTTTCTAGTTTAACAACTCATCCAAGTTATTCAACATCAGATTATACAAATGATATAGCTATACTTACACTTCAATCAGCATTTAATCAAACAACAATTGTTGGTAAATGTTGTTTAACATTCGATACTTCATTACCAAGTATTGATGAGCATGCTGTTATTGCTGGTTGGGGAGCAACATCATCAACAAGTCAAACAATATCAGATAAGTTACTTCAAGGTGTTATTCAAATTCAAAGTAGTTCATCATCATCATCACCATGTTCTCTAATGTCAAGTAGCATTCAAATTTGTGCTGGTTATGCTGGTACTGATTCATGTTATGGTGATAGTGGTAGTCCATTGATGACTAGTGTTAATAATTCATGGACATGTACTGGAATTGTTAGTTCTGGAAGAGGTTGTGGTACAAATGGTCTATATACTCGAGTTTCAGCTTATCAATCATTTATACAAAGCATTATTGGCAGTTAATATGGTGTTTCTTTTTCTTGTTTGTGTTAAGAATTTGTAAAATTTTCTTCATATAAAATATGTATAGAGTATTTTTCTCATGTCCTCTTTCATTACAATATAATATATGGAGAAAAAGTTCTCAAAAATTTTCATATTGATATAGATAGAAAAATTTCTGATGATCTTTTTTCCATACTTTATTTTGTGTTCGTTTTTTTTTCTTATTACTAATAAGACTTTTTTTCTAAGAAAAATATAATTGTAAAATGTTGTTGATGACTAGTAGATGATGAAACTTGACTAATATTAAATTGTTAGATATTGTTTACAGAGTTATTGAGTGCACAAGAGAATTAATAAGAAAAAGCTGAAGCATGAAAAGAATATTTTATTTTTGAATGCGTGAGATTATGAGTAGATTAGTCATTAAAACATGTCACGAATATGTTTCTGTTTATAGAACATTTTGTTTTATATATAATCAAAGATACTTTTATTTTATTTTGATATTTTAAATAAATTTTTATCATCTAGTTTCAATGAATGATCGAGTTTATTTTCATATTTAAATTTGTCTTGATAATATTATAATCTATGAAATGTCAAAAAAAAAACATGATTAAAACATTTATAAACCTATACATTACTTAAAGGAAGATGTTGCAGCAAGGTCGTTATTTTTTGCTCACGACATTTTATTTTATTTTTTCAATCAAAAATGTATCAGAGGATTGATAGAAGTGTTTCGTGAGACTTAGTTTTGTTCTATGTCGACATTACTTTTTTGATCCCGATGGTTCTTTCTAGGACTTCTAAAAAGTTTATTTTTCTCAAATTACTTGAAGATTATATTTACTACATGCGATTTTCATGTTGATCGTGAACATCGTATTTGAAATGGAAAACGATTGAGTTTTAACAGAGAAACACGCATATTACTAATAAATTGATCACATAGTAGTTTTCCACTTCATAACTATTTTTGCACATAACTAATATACATAAACAGTAGGTTTATCTTCTAAAATATAGAATATTGTTGGCAAAACTATTGTTTGCAAGCTTGCAGAAAAATAACGTAGCAATATTTTTAAAAATGACTTTTTAAAACTTTTTATCAAACTTTATACTATTCGATGATAGCCTGGTATTAAGAAGCCATAAACATAGTTCGACACAGTCTGCCATGATTTATCCAAATATGAATTCAAATTTGCATAGAAAGATGTACATTAGATTTTCAGAAGTTCTCTGAAGAATCAATTCTAGAATCCTCAACGACCTAGACTTTTCGACAATGTTGTCGTATTGAGCATATCTTAAAATCTATTCTCACAATTTTTCATAGTTCTCACTCGACTCTATCATGTAATTTACTGATTGCTTCAATCTAAGAAAAAAAAATTGACTCCCTTGGCAATCTATTATAACATTCTGAATATATATTATTGCGATAGAGCTAAGGTTATGAAGAATTGTAGAAATAGGTTTTAAGATATGCTCAATCCGATGACATTGTTGGAAAGTCTAAGTCCTTTAGGACTCTAGGATTGATTCTTCAGAGAATCTATGGAAATCTAATGTACATCTTTCTATGTGCCTTTGAATTTATATTTGGATAAACTATGGCTCGAACTATGTATATGGCTTCTTAACACCAGACCATCTTCGAATAGTATAAAATTCGATAAAAAGTAAAAAAAACTCATTTTTTTTGAAAATATTTCTACCCTTTTTTTTGCGAACTTGCAACTAAGCATCAGTTTTTTAGAGCGGATTTCATTTGGGATGGATAGAACAAATAGTTTTGCCCAAAATATTTTATATTTTAGAAAATAAACCTACTATTTAAGTAATTATATTTCTTATATGTAAAAATAGTTGTGAGGTGAAAAACTACTCTATGACGAATTTATTAGTAGTATACGTGTTTCTCTGTTAGCACATAATCGTTCTCCATTTCAAACACGATATTCATGATTAACATGAAAACCGCATCTGGTGAATATAATCTTCAAGTAATTTGAGAAAAAATAGTTTCTTGCAAGTCTCTAGAGAATCACACGAGTCAAAAAGATCATGTTGAAATAGAACAAAACCAAATATCAGGGAATATTCCTGATAATCTCCTGATACACTTCCAATCAAGAAAAAAAATTACTATATCATAGACAAAAAAAAAACGGTTCTTTTTTGCAACATTTCCTTTGTCTGACTTTTCTCAATAATAATTATTGAAGATGACAATTTCACAGATGATGTCTGATGTGATATTGAACTATAATTCTATTGACAAAAAAAAACAAACGTATTATTTTTTTTTTATTAAATTAATAGACACTTTATTCAAAATTAGTGTCTGTATTGTTTTATATAATCTAGTTATTATGTAGTAAAATATACGAAAATTATATAGTAGTTGAATTATAATATGTTCTATTATTCAAGGTTAATTGAAATTATCTTTATAAATAGGCGGATTTTTGCTAGAATGCAGACTGAATCTAATAATAAGAAATTATTAGAAAAGCACGTAGAGAAACACATTTTTCTTTGTTTGTCAGTGCTCATACCTATGAGCTCTATTACTTAATGAAATAGAATTTAATTAACTCCGTCTTTAATATAGAATCTGTATAAAAGAACATACATGTCAATTTTGATTCTATATTTAAACATATATGTCAATAAGTCTTAAAAGTCACGAATTCAAATTTCCTATCAAAGGTTCTATCAATAATCAGTTTATGTTTATTCTCGTAATATGTTATTATCTTTCATTTCTTCAATGACTTGAATGGAACATGTATTTACAAATGTTAAGACTGAATTAAATTAAATTACAAAGCTTTCAATCTTAAAAGGAAAATTCTTTTGTTTAATGCAAAGATAGGAATGAATTTCGATTATTATTATTTTTCTTCTTATAATTCTCGTGTTCGACTATTGATCTATCGAGAATCATTGATGAAGATTATGTTTTTATACTATTAACTAAAAATTAGAATTTTTCGATGTATATGCTTGTATGTTGAAATGTAGAATAATCAAATACATTCATTTAATGTCGAGAAAAAAGAAGAAGAAGAAGAAGGAGAATCAACGAAGGAACAAGCTCATCAAGAATAAAATCATCAGGGAGAATGATGAAGAGAGTAAGCCAGATATGATGAAATGGGCCGACCGGAAAAAAAACGGAAGAAGAGAGAACTCGAACCGCCGTTGGCGATGAAACTAGATAAAGAAAAGAGACTGATGAGGGGCAAAGAGTTTGTCTTGGTTCTTATTATATAAAAAAAAAATGAGAAGAGAAAAGCAAGAGTATTATTGAAATTTTGTCAGCAAAAAAAAATGATGCACAATATTGGTTGTCACTGTCGCTAGTTACATGGAGTCTAAAATCATCGGTAGGTTAATTATGAATTCATAATTATGTTGTTGTTTTTGAAAATTCCTAGTCAAATAAGCGTAAATAAATACCATTTGATTGACATATGGCAGACGGAAATGAAGAGAAAGAAAATCATCTTTAGAAATTTAATAAAGACATAAAAAAACAAAACAAAAGAATTTTTTTTTCTTCTCTTGTAAATATAAAACATTTTCTTTGTTGAGTCTACCCGAGAAAATTGTAGTTACGTTAAATTTTTCTTTTTTTTTTTAAGTATTGACTCAAGGAGGAACATTCACCGGAAGGAAATAAATAAACCGCTAATTTATCTTTTTATTCGTCAATATATATTCATAAAGAATACTACATTTCACTGAGGATAAACTGTATTTAAGAAAAAAAAGAAAATTGTTTATACTTTTTTTTAAGTATCAAATATAACAATGATTGAATTAAATATAACAATGATTGAATCAAATATAACAATTAAAGATCAAATACAAAGAAATGTTTTTGCACCTGTTCAAGTAACACCCGATCGAACGGGTTTATTTATAGCATTATTTTTATTATTTCTTCTTTTTATTCTTATATCATATTTATTCTACAATTTTTTTTCATTTAAACGGTTTACTTCTCAACATAATAATATTCAAAATAATTTCATTGATCAAAATCTCAATAATAAAATTATTCTTGATGATAATGATGATCTTATTAATAATAATGGAGAAATTATTTTTAGACGTCAAAGTTCATTTTCTGATTGTGGAACATCATTACGTTCATCATCAATACGTTCACATGTACATCAACGTACTAAACGAAATAGTTCATATAAATATTGTTCACAAACATCAAATTATCTTTTAACGCCATGTTTATCATCTCAAATAGTAACAAATGCTGATGAATGTTTACCGACAACAATTATTGTTGAACCAAATGATGCTCAATTAGCTAATGCATTATCTCGTTCGATATCAAAATATTATGAACGTAGAAGAAAACCAATATTAAAACGTCGTACTCGTTCATATGAAGACATAGCAATACAACCTAATAAAAAAAGACTTCCATTACAAGCGACAGCTTCATTACCTATTCGTCGAAATTTACAACAAACAGATAAAACTAATCGACAATGTCAAAGACGACTATCATCTAGAAAAAAACCAACTACGATCTATGAATTATATAAATCAGACAGAATGAGAATTGCTAATCTACTCGTTTCCGATACTTAAATTATAGGAACCAATTCGTTAATGTTTATTTGACAAAATAGCTAAATTGAATGTTTTTTTGTTGAGAAGGACACATTACTTATTCTTCTAGATCATCTTTTGTTCAAAAAACAATCATCATATTCACAATCATTGCTCGAATATTCATTTTCTTTTCTTTTCTTTATTCATATTGAACAATAAAAAAAAAAGAAAACAAAAACAAAAGACAAGACTTAAAAACAACAATCAAAATAGATATTAATCTTATGGGATTTCTTTATCAAAAGAAGAAAATTTTACACCGGCATTAGAAATACTTGATCGTGTTATACGTTGATGAATATTATTATTATTATTAATCGATAATTGATTAATTTTATCATCAATACTTTTTAATGATATATAAATACTTTCCATAGTTTGTTTCATATCAATAATTGAACATTCAACACGTTGCATACGTGCAAGTACAGTTAATTTTGAACGATCTTCATTACTTAATGGTGGTTGTTTACCAATGGTATGTTCAATTCTAATCAATAAAAACAAAAACAAAAACATGTGAAGCTTTTCTATTTTATTTTATTTTTTTGTTTGTTTTACTTTCGTTGTAATTCTTTAATTCTCATCATCATATTAATATGTCCATGTGAATATTGTTCAAGTACATCTCGTACATCATAAGGTTTTCGAGCTTGCTAGAAAAGAATTTATTTTAATCAGGAAAATAAAAAAAAAACCAAAGATATTTTATTTTACTTGAAAACGTTTACGAGCAACGATTAATTGCATTTTACGAATACAACGAATCATTCGTTTATGATCTTCAGTTAAACTAATAAATAAAAGAAAGAAAAAAAAAACCAGTATGATTAATTTTAAAGAACAAATATATTAAATTTATCTTATAGGTATTTCAAAAAACAAAAGCAGATGGGGAATTTTTTTATAACTTTTGATAGAAACACGATAGAGAATTGCAATTGTTATCTTTAGAAAGAGAAGATGAAGATGCATCGAATCATACATTACAGGGTTTTTTTTTCTAAGATTTTCAATCGACTTTTTTGAAAACCAACGTACTCTATGAGGTGACTATAGTGAATTTTCAATAATTAGGCGTGCATTCGAACTGCTAATGAAAGATCTAGAAAACTATGCAAGTCTCAGTTATTCAAAAGTCAGAAGTATTCTAGTTCGAATTCTCGGTCGATTTTTTCAAGCAATTGCTGTGAAAAATAAATCATATTTTTGCTTTTTTTCTTATGTTTAAAAGGAAATATTTTTCCGACACATTTTTTTTTTTTTGATAAATTAGGTTAAAAAGACGTTCAGAAAACATCTTAGGAGAACCTATTAATATATAATTCGATATGACTTCATCTCCTCTTTCCAATAATGAAAATCACAGCACTCTATCTTGTTTCTATCAAAAGTTATTAAAAAAATTACTCATCTCTATTTCTTTTTAAATAAGCATTAGTTCGTCAAATCAGAATGGAATTGATTAAGAAAATCTTGTTTATAGTAATTTTGATTCTGATGAATCTATGAATTCATTCAAGTAGATAATATATACATAATGTTTTTGATTGACATCACTATTTCATCAAGATTAATAAGATAAGATATATAATGTTTTAAGAGAAATTTTCAATTTGATACAAACTTTTGTTTTTTTTTGTCATTTATATTATTGCAATATATTGTTAAAGATTGAAAGTTTTCTAACAATCTCTATATCATGAATTAAAAGATTAAAAAATGAATATGAATTGTTTCAAAAATCATACTTAACGCAAGAGAGAGTTCTTTCTCTTTCACAATACAAGACGATAGTTATCTCATAAGAAAAATTCTATACAATCATATGTATATACTAGAATTTCAAGTTAATTAATTTTATTTGAATAAGTCTTACAATTATCAATATTAATTTCTTGATAAATTTTCATCGGGAAAAAAAACCAAGCTGAAATACTGATGAGAAAAATTCTATGCTATATCAAAATATTTTTGTTGCTCATCATTTTAAGTACTTCTTTATCTATTAGTATCATTCAACGATAGATGTAATACTCACATCTACGTTCAAAAGAATTTTTGACTTGAAATCATTAAAAATAAATAAATGTCAAATGTAACATCATCTGAATTCATTACACATGACGTATGCTTTTTATTATACTCTAATCTACAATGAAAACACAATCACTTATTTACACATTGTTTGTTTTGATATGCACATTTATATTAATTTTATTATCGAATTTCTTGTATGACATTCAAGAAATCTTTTGTCTGTATTTGATTGTATTTCTAGTGCTTTGCTCCTATCACCTCAAAAAATATAAAAAAGGATAATATTATCTTTATTAAAATATTTCTCTTAGACTTCTATACCTTGATTTTTAACTTCTACAATTCAAAATTCATATATATATATATATATATGAACTTTTATAGCAAAGACAATAGAACTAATTTGATCTTGAGTAGTAATGAACGAAATATTTTTAATTATACTTATTAATATGAATCATCTAATTTAAGAAAATTCAAACATAATAACATTTGTTAGTTATTCTTACAAATTAGCATCGTTTGTTTTTTTCTTAAAACATGTCTAAAATAAGACTGAAATCTTGAACTCATTAACAAAGAATAATTATGTATACTGTTGTTTTCTCTCATCTATTATAAATATATACTTACGACCAAAGTTTCATAGGTTCTTCTTCAAAATCTTCATCATCATGATCAGTAGTTGGCATTAAATAACATCCTTTAGATGAAAAAAAAAATTCCTTTTTTTTTTCAAAATATAATCCTCATTAAATTTATGTTTTGTTTTTTTGCTTGTTACCTGTTGTATTCGATACTGATGATGTTGAATTACGACCATTAGTTGTTACTGGTGATAGTAGAAAATGTGCTGATGATGGTTGACTATTTCTTTTTGATCGATTTTTTCGTATTGAACTTGATAAACGTAAATATCGAAGTTTTTCTGCTGTTTTTTCTATAGAAAAAAAAAACAACAGAATTTCCATTATATAGTAATGCTTTTTTTTTGTTTCTTTTGATCATACCACCGAATGTTTGATTATTTGTTGAAAATGTTTTTTGTGTTGACGTTGATATATTTGGACCGGTAGCATGTAAATATATATCCCATGTTGCTGTACATGATGAACCAGGTGCACTTGCATAAACACGCCATGCTGCTTGGATTAATGTTGCTGCTGCTGGAATTTGTCGAGAAAAATGTTTTTGTCGTTGTTTTTGTTGAACTTTAAGAGCAAAACCAGAACCAAGTATACCCTAGGGCAGTAATAAACTAGATATGAGATTATTTGTTTTTTAAATAATTTACAGCTGGTAAAGCAAAAAATGATATTGCAAATATAGCAAAACAAGCAGCAATAATTTTTCCAAGCCTTAAGAAAAACAGAGAAAGAAGAATTTTTTTTTTTTTATGTTAATTTTATATCAAACAGAAAAATTTTAATTATTTACCATGTTATTGGATAAACATCACCATATCTAATTATTTAAAAAGAATATAAAAATTAGAAAACAATTATTTATCTTACTAACCCAATGGTAGTTATTGTAATAACACCCCACCTAAATAAAAATTCTTTTTTTTGTTTTGCTTTTGAAATATATTTTCTCTAAACTTACCATAATGCATCAGCATAAGATTCGAAATGACTATCATTACCTTTAGCACCTCGTAGATTTTCACCTTTTTCATCTTTTTCAGCAATATAAACAAGATAACTACAAGAAATTAATGCAAGAAATCCAATATATAATGTTGTAATTAATTCCTTTAATAGAAGAAAAAAAAATTTTTTTTTTTTTTTTTAAATTTATCATTTATTTTTCTTTACTTGTCGATGAATATAAACTACACTTCCTAATAATCGCCATGTACCCCCATGTCTATCAACATGTAAAACACGTAAAATTTGTAAAAATCGAACACCACGAATAGCTGATGCAGCAAATGTTTGTCGATCTGTTGCTAATGTTATCATTAAAGTTGATGCAACAATAACCAATAGATCTTTATAAAAATAAAGAATTCAAAATAATCAAAGTGTTATCATTATGACATATAAATTTAATACTTACCAATAACAGCAATAGGTTTTCTTGCAAAACGAAAACGACCTAACATACCCATATATTTACTTCGACATCCAGCTGACCAAAGTCTTAAAATATATTCAATACCAAAAAATAGAACAAGAAATATTTCAATCCAATAAACATATATTGATAAAGATGTTGAAAATTTTTCAATTGTTGATAATACTGATAAAACAAGACAAACAATCACCACCAAAAATCTAAGTAAAAAACAACAAAAGAACATTTTGTTTTTCTACTCTATCTTTTAACATACACAAAAAAATGATAAAAAAAACATTTGAGTCCAGTTGGTCTTTCAAGAAAATTATATAATAATATTTGGAAATTTGAATGAATTGAACGTGCATTAGTTCTCGTTAGATATGGCATTGGTAAATATGCTACTGAATAATATGTTGGAATAGTTGGATAACTTAAACGTGTACCATGTCTTGTTGAATGATATAAAAATGAGAGACCAACATCACAATCTCTGTTTAACGATTTTGATTCATAATTATGAGCCTCTCTTCCACGACGATGATGATGAAAATGCATCAATAAAAAAAAAAACTTTGCATACACCAGGGAAAGAAAGAAAACAAGGCGAAAGAGAAAGAACAAAAGAAAAAAAAAAAGAGCAATAGTTCAGATATATATTCTCAATAGAAATTCAACAAGATAAACAATAAAACCGTAAGGCATTATCAATTGTTCAATAAATGCTTATATACATGTGTTCTTTTTTGGGTATATCTAAAGAAGAAAATAAATATCATATTGACAGTTGAGGATTATATTTTATATGCGTATGTCATTGACATACATTCACCGATTTTTTTTTCTGTACCAACTATGTGGGGCAAATCTAGAATATATTTCAAATTTCTAATATTTCTAAAAGTAATGTCTCATCTTATTTTTAAACTCACTGGTGTTCAAGCATGTAATCTTACAACTCAGTTAGTCGTATGTCATTCATATGATATATATATATATATATATTGAAACATTTATCATGACTGAAAGCATGAATATGAACATGATGATGACAAGCAGTAAAAGCCATTCTCTTGTTGTGCTCAATCAATTTAGAAATCAAAAGACAGATATGACGGGTTCAGGGATTAGAACAAACATTGATAAGAGAATCAAAACAAAAACACAGAATAGCATTTTTCTTTGTCTTTTTCATTGAGACATTTTCAGCTTGATGTTATTATTATTTATTACTGACATTATCTTTCATAGTGATATTTTTATAATAAGAATTCTTAAAATATAGCTTTATAAACAAAAATAGACGGAAAAAAAAGTAAAGAAATAGCTTTAAAAAAAATGGACTTTTATAAAGCTTTTTAAAATTCCATTAACATAATCTTAATCATATTCATCAGTTCATTGACGATGACCTCCTTAGAGTTCAATGCTCAATAAGATACTAGTATTTTCATCATATCAATTAACGTCCTAGCTCATCCTTTTTTTACTTACGCAAAAAATACGGATATATAGAGCCACTGTAATATAGTTTTTTTTTTTTATTGCACTTGGCGTTCGACCATAAATAGTATTGATAAATGTCGACGATAATTTCTCACAGATTATAAACAATAACTAACGAAAGAGACATATGCCTCATTAGTTTAACGAGCCTCTGAGATTCGAGTACGAACACATAAATATATCCAGATTTTCTCATACTCTCAATGTACTTTATTCTATGCAAATGATCAAAGACGAATAAAACATAGTAGAGAAAACGACGACTACTAATGTAACAATAGAAAGGAAAAATACAAGAAAAAAATAATTATGAGATTATGATTCGAGGTAGACAGTCTTTTTATTACATATAAAATATTTTCTCTTTGTATTTATTTAGTTTTTTGCATTTTCAATGGTTATATAGTATTGTAGTAATAAATAATATAAAAAGTTGATTATATTCATCTTGTATTTAAGTTACACTAAGCTGGACAATCATGCACCGTTTTCAAACATGAATTTCGTATTAAATATCTTCGAAAAAAAACATTTTTAAACAGGAAAACAGAATAGAAATGATTTTTCTTTCTATTGATCATTCTACTATTCATTGTATTTGTGTAATAAAGATTTCAAATATTAATATTCAAGTATTATAATAAGGCCTATTCGATAGTATGAATATGCATAATCAAAGGTTGTTTCATACTCTCAATTAAATATTTGTTATTATTAAAATACAAAAAAAAATGAATATTGTGAATTATTCATTTACGTGTATTAATATTATGGACTGTTGTAATTTTACAATAATAATAATAATAATAATAAGTGACGTGAACAGAAGCAAAGAAAATATATTTACACAGTTTGACATCATTACAAAATATTGTCGTTGTCATGATTCTCCTATATTCATAGAATGTTAAAAATAGAATAATCATTTGCAATTTCTTTTCTGTAACACGTGATTTATGTTTCATTTTCAGTAATCGCATTCAGATTTTCATATGCATTATAACCAATCATTTATAAATTCAAAGAAGAAATCTAGGCTCAAATCTATTATTAAATATCGATCGAACTAGAACAGATTAATTCAACAAAATAAATAATACAACGATAAGATGTTATAATATAATAAAATAACAAAACAAAACAAAAAAAAAAGAAATCGTATGAAAATATTTCCTTTAAACAAGCTTTTTCTGAGATTTTTTCGTATGAATAATACAAAGTTTGATATGACTGATTTGTTTTGTCCTAAGATTTCATCATCTCAAATAGCTTTTTTGCCTGATATATAAAAATAGAGTATTGATTTGTATTTCAGATGAATGTATATATGCTTTTGAATGAATATATTGAAATATGAAGATAATGATTGTCAAAGTAAATTAACCAAGATGGAAAAGATATATTATAAATTCCTTCTCTCTTTCTTTTTTATTGCTGATGAAGTACAAAGTTAAGAGTATTCGAAAATTTGCACTTGTACATAATAAAAAAACATGATAAATATAGATATAAAAAAAAAGATGTAGAGCCAATATTCAAATTTGTGATATGTGTGATTTTTTTCTTCACTATTTTACATAAGTATATACTTGTATCCTTTTTATTTGAATGAGACTCCCATCAGAGCAACATTGATGCGAGATAATCATTTAGGGCCAAAAAAAAATTCGAGAGAATGTGTATATAGCCAAAGAAAAAAAACGAAGAAAGTGAAAAAAAAAAAAAAAAGAAAAACCCTCACATTTGATACACTGTACCAACGTTGCTCCTACATAACTCACACATTCAATTGTCTGTAATCTGCTCCCTAGACGAACGAACATGACTTGTCCTTGTATTGCCTCTGAATTTTTGCTTCGTTTTCTTTTTTTTTTCGACAAGACTAAAGAACAAGGAAGAAAGAAAAAACGAATCTCATGATTAAAAAGGGATGAAACAAAATATATAAATCTTGTTCGATGATGAACTGAACTCGTTTTCTTCTCATTGGTATAGGTGTCAAATGGTTCGAGTTGTAAGCAAAGTCAAGTTCTTTTTCTTTTTTCTTTTTATTCTTTCCAAAAGAAATTTAACACCTTGTGTTCGATCATAAAAAAGCAAGTAGTTGCTGTCGTTTTTATTTCTTTTTCTTTTTGTATTTTACATAGATCTACTAATACTTATATTATTATAATGGTTGAAAAGGCAAAAATATTTTATTTCAGTGTTTTTATTCTTGTCGTATTCGCATTCATTTTTCATGTTAATGCTATGGGTCATCATCATTGGAAAAAAGCCGATGCAAGAAATTCCACTAGTTCGACCTTCGGTGGCTTTAATTACACAAGTATCGGCTTATTCACACGATGCGAAGTTTCAAATGATTATAAGGCCGAAACGTGTTTTCCTAATATGTTTCCTAGTAATAACAGTTGCAATTATCGAACGGATTGTCAGCAAAGAGCATCAAATCCATATTGTCCATGTGATTATTTACCATCGACAAAAGGTATTGCAGCATGTACCATCATAGCTGCTATATTTCTCGGTCTTACTATAATTATTCTATTTATTCATTCAATTAATACATCCGAAACTCGTTCAATAGGCATGTTTCTTAGTGTATTGCCATTAATTCTACTTTTATTAGCATTCGCATTCATTCTTACTGCACTTATACTTGTTGGAAGTTATTTATCACGAGATGTGATGTATCTCGTGTATCGATCAACCGACACAGGTACATATATTTTAAAGTCTAAGAAAGAAAACTTTAAATCACTAAATCAAAAATATACTCTTGTCTATAACAAAAATATAATAAATCAATAAAATTGTAAAGTTTTATTATAAGATTATCAACACTTCTATATTCACACATGAAAAATCAATAAACATTTTTTTTTGTAAAAGAAAAGAATCACACAAAAAACTTTTCATTACTATTTATGATCTTTAAATTTTAATTTTTTTTTCTATTTTAAGCTTTCGATATCGGAGCACTTCGAGATCGTGCTCGAGAATTATATAGAGTACGAGTCGATTGGTCAACTGGACTGGAGATTATATCTTTATTCTTTACATTTTTATCATTAGTCCTTTACAGTGCATTTGTATTTAAATTTGGTCGATCTTCATAAATAAAATATGAAAACAAAATAAAATTGTTAACGCAATATACGTCCAATAATAAATACAATATATCTATTAACTTTTTCTCTTTTCTTTTTTGTTTTTTCTTTTTGAATTTTATGCTATATGTATAGTAGTTTATTATGTGCCTTTTGTCACCTCGCTATCTTTATATATGTTACTTATTTATTCTTTCATATGAATACAAACAAAAAACAAAATAAGAAAAAAATCTTTTTTTTTTCCTTGTAATAAAGTTTAATTATTAAATTCTTCATGAAATTGAAAAGTAATTTGAGATATGAATGTAATATTGAATATTAAAAAACACGATGAAATATGAGTCTATATAGATAAAATGTCTTTTTTATTTCAATGATAAACATAACACAAAAAAAAAAAAAATTTGAGAATATATAATGTCATCAATAGAAACTAATTAATTTTTTTTCTATATAGATTGATAAATCACCAGCAATACCAAGGTTTTTTTCTAATCAAAAAAGAAAATTATATATGTGAAATATGTTCGTTAATCATAATCATTTCAATATTACATTCAAACTCGAAATCGAATCTAATATATTCATAAGGAAATTTAATCTATACTTGTAGAGAGATGATTAGACAAAACAAAAAGAAATATATATATTTTATTATCGTAGAATACATCACAATACTTAAAAAAGAATAATATCGTACTAGATTTACATTCGACAAAAGTTCAAGGTTAACATTGTTTTAAATGTCATTTGTATACTAATATCGAAACAACAATATATGACTAATATACAACGAGACGAGTTTTGTAAAAAAATGAATTTTTTAATTATTAGTGAATTCTATCGAAAATTAATCGTTACATTTGTATTTTTGTGTCTACATATCATTAGACCGTGATGTACAAAGTAAGTTTTATTGAAAAAAAAAATGTCTTATTTAAATTGTATCATTTACAGTACAAGGATAAGTATTGTACTTCGTAACCGACTTTTAAAAGACACTACCAGCATCCATTTTCTAAAGTTTACTCAACCAAATATTTAATCAAATATTTATTTAATAATCAAGTTGCCAAGGTTACTTCTGTTTTTTTTTTTCTTGCGATTTTTTTTCTTCAAATTTATTGATAGTGGATAAATTGAATATCAAAACCGGACATTCTCCGGTTATAGATTCATCAATTTTACTTGATAAAAAATATGATAATATTCGAATTGAAGCAATTAATGCAGGTATTATATTAAAAGAAACAAATGAAAAAATAGATGAAATTATTAATGATGGACATATTATTAAATCTCATGCATATGATATACGATCAAATGCTTTACGATTTTATGAAAATTTAATTCAATCGAAAAAATTCATTCAATATTGTCAATTAATATTTATTCTAATTATTATTACTATTATGAGTATTTTTATTGGAAAATTTTTTACTAGAAAAAAAAATTCATAAGAAAAAAAAAATTTCACTACTATATCTATGAACATATCGAAAATCGATTTTTTTTGCCATTAGAAAAGATTTCAATGTACTTGATAGAACAAAGAACTAATTCAAAATCGAATTTTGACAGTCTGTATGTTATTCAGTGAAAATAAAAATAAGAAGGACGATATGTACAACTAATATTGTATATATAAGAAAGCGTCACCGTCATATATGAAAGTCTAAATTTCTCGTAGACAACGATCCTTGTATGTTAATACTAGATTTTTGCAAAAAAAAAACAAGCCATCTATATGTTTTCCTTTTTCTCGACAAATATCTTAACCTTCAATAAATTATTCATCACAAGTGTATGTGTATGTATATACATATATGAAGATTAAAATCGATCATATTGTTTTTTATTTTCTGACTAATTCTATTAAATGTAAAGTACGCCTGTTCATATTAGACAAACTCTATAGGCAAGTGTCTCTTTCATTGAATGTAATTAGTGTATATGTCCGTTTATTCGCCTCAAGTTCAGTCTATCTTCATCGACTAGAATTTCAGATAGAAAAAGAAAAATTGATTAGACTATGTGACAAGTATATTGTACAGTTTTCTATTCGATTCGAAACAAGAAGAAGAAGAGAAGGAGGAGGAGAACGAGTATGAGGAAAACAACACCTCCCCCTATTTCTCCTCCCTTCTCATTCTATAGAACTACTAGTCCCTTGTGTTGTCAATGCCATGCCATTAACGTCCTGTTGTGTTGTTCGAATGTGTACTCGCGATTCAATTGCCCATTCTTTTTATATAGTCTATGTTTATCAATCAGTCACCAGTGTGCCCACTGGGAACTTAGTGAAAAACGAGATAAGGTTGAACAGACAAACAAGTGTTTGCATATACATATACATGAGTCCTATGGTCAACATTTGATACAGTTCAATGAATGGTAAAGAAGAAAAAAGGAAGTAATATGTAATTTGTTCATGATGAGAACAGCATTAGTTTAATCAATAGATATTATTTAAGTTGCCACACCTTCCGTGTGTCTCGTTGTATAAACAAACGTAAAATTATATTTAATTCATATCGATTTTCATTTTTATGTCATTTTGAAAAAGAAATTCAGTCTATCCTTTAAAATTCAAATAACATCTCTTTAATTTACAGTCAATTGCATCTTTTTTTTTTTATATGATGTGATCATTACTGGTTTTGAAAAGGTGACAAATTAGCGAATCACTCCTTCATTTTTTTTTCGTCTCTTCATGTCGGCATATGAATGATCGAAAAAGAATAACAGAACAGAATGGTGTCCTTGGAAATCTTACATCACCGATAAGCACTAGTTAGTTGAGAAAAGTGTTTGTTTGATCAGCTCAGCAGGTTTTAACTGTTATAAGATATATATATTTATTTTTTTTCTTCTACTTATAGACATATCGAATAATAAATTTATATTTATTAGAAAAAAAAAACTGAATATAAGAATGAAATTTTACTACAGATGGACACGCTTTTCATGACATATGTCCTTCAAAGAAACAAAAGAGATGACACTAGTATTGTAATATACACACACACAGAGAGAAAGAGAGAAAAAAAATCAAACGTTTGATTTTCATTTGATTGATAAAAGGATGCAGCCGAATAATGGCCACTCACAGTGTTAAAAGAAACGACTAGTCGATAAGGGATGGCACGAGTCGGTTAGAAAAAAAAACTCAGCAGTTGGTCATAAAAAAAATTTCTCTTTTTTCTTTTTCTTTTTTTTGTGTCTTATTACACTGTTCTTACTTTTAGGTTATTCCTTTTTTTTTTGCACCTCTCGAGTTAAGAGCTGTAAAACTATCGCAAATACTATGCCATCTGTCTGCTAATGTTAAATTTACTGCTGTAGCTACTACATGACATTGATTAACTTGACTGATAACGACACGACACACGATTATCGAGATGACTGTTTGCCACCTTGAACACACACACATATATATATATATATTGAAACTGATAAAATGAAATCTCTTGTGTATTAGTGAACAATTAGCAAAAAAATCGAAGTGACGAATGTACGTTAGAAAATTGTTTTACTCATGATAAGTTGTCAATATATTTTAATTCTCTTGTGAATGAAATATTTAATTTTTTATTGAACGTGTTATTATTTTTATGAAATATATATATATATTTTTTTTTTATTTACGTAAAATAGTTGTTAATATATATTTGCTTATTCATCCATATACATTTACAATAGATTTATTTTTTCATAATAATAATCAGGAAATGATATATTCTCTTACGTAGAAGAATATGATCTAATCTCACATTTGTTTATGCTTGTTGACAATGATATTGTCAGTCAATCATTGATGCCGGATATGTTTAAACACCTTCTTTGACAAAGATAAGATATTCGTTTTATATTCAAGACGATCACGTTCATATGTCTTAGATGTTTTTCAAGAGGTCCGTCAAAACAATTGATATTTATCAATTTCATTAAAAGCAAAAAATAGAGAGAAGAGATCGGTCAACTAATTTGACCTTAAAGAAAGCTAATATTAGGTCTAATTAAATTAAGTTTTTTCTCTTTTTTTTTTTTTTTATTTTTCGAGAACAGTTGGCCTTCGAAAATTAGCATTTATCTTTTCTTTATTCATGATGAAAGCATGCGCATGCACTCTATACTATTTTTCTATTGAAAACGATCGGATGAAGAAAGAAAAGTATCATCTCATTGTGTATTTGTGTCTTTTTTTTTACGGTTCGAAGAACACGCACATGCTATTAAATCAATCAAACACGCGACATTATTCATCGACTGTATTTAAGAATATTTGAAACTATTTTTAAAAGAAAAAAGATAAAGGAAACATGTTGTAGATAGAAATTAATCAAATGATTAGCTCATATCTCACACGTTTTAAATAGAACCAATCATTGGTTTTCTTTTTCTTTTTTGACTATCATTAATTTTCATTGGTTATAAATTGAATATACTCTCTTTTATCAGAGGAAGGAAACAAGCAAGCAAGCAAGAGAGTGAGAGAAGAGACATTTCCTTCTTTTCTTTTTTTTTTTTTTATTCTTTTCATTCAAATCGACGTGAACTGTTCAGTAAGTTAATTTCTTTATAACAAAAAAACAAGATGCCTACAAAAATTCCTCGTGACGAAGAACAACGACAATTAAAAGAACTTGAACTTCAAATCAAATATCATGAACGTGTCGAAAGTATGAAAGAAAATAATAATAATAATAATAATAATAATAATAATCATCATCATCATCATCCTACTCATGCAACAACAACAACAACAACAACAACAAATAAAAAATCAACATTTATAAATGATATTAAAATACCAAAAAAACGTGGTCCAAAAAAGAAACAAATGACACCAGCACGTGTTGCACGTTTTAAAGTTCGACGTATTAAAGCTAATGGTCGTGAACGTGACCGTATGAAAGGTCTTAATGAACAATTAGAAGTTTTACGTGAAACAATTCCATGTTTTTCATTATCACAAAAATTATCCAAAATTGAAACATTACGTTTAGCAAAAAATTATATTGAAGCATTAAGTGAAATGGTTCAAAATAATCATATACCAGATAATACACATTTTGCTCAATTATTATGTAAAGGTTTATCACCAAATACAATGAATCTTGTTGCAGCAACACTTTGTTTAAATCCTCGTATATTACAACAACAGCAACAACAACAACAACATCATGGAAATTCATATCCAACAAATATGATTACAATGGATGAAACTTATATGTTATCATCAATGCATCCAAGAGTACGAAATCCATTAGAATTTATTAATCTTAAAAAAATAAATGATCAATCAAAAACAACAACAAATCATAATCATTTAACAAGTGAAAGTGAAGATGATGCTATATTATGTAGTTCAAGTAGTTTTGATCAAACATCATCATATTGCAATGATGCAACAAGTAGTAGTATGGAAGAAATTAGTCCTAATGGACATATGATTATAACAGGACCTTCACAAACATTTTCAAATGAATATTATCCTGATGAACAACATTTTATGTTAAATACTCAACAATTTTATCCACCACCACCACCACCAATTGTATCATCACAACATCATCATAATTTTTATTATCCAACACACTTTTGATTTTTCTTTTTTTTTTTGTTTTCTTCTGTTGTATATGAATATAATTTATTGTAGTTAGATCTGTATAATTGGTTCTCTATATTTTGAAAATACTTAGTGGCCATAATAAAGAAAAAAAAATAAATTATTGATTTGATAACAAAAAAAAAAAAAGAAGGCAATTTTGTTATGTATATAGATAAGAAATTAGACCAAACAGGATATTTGTTTTTAATGATAAATATACTTTTGTTCGATAAAGAAGAACAAATGATGACATAAGTTAAGTAATAAATTTTTTGTTTTTTGAGAAAACAATAATGATTAGTGAGAGTATAACGATGAATTTAGATTGTGGAGGCAAGAAATTTCATACTTGAACTATTTTTTCTGAGTAGAAAACGTGCAAAATTCAGCCGATACAAACTCTAATGTGATTTGAAAACATATTTTGTGACTATGATCATTCTCATTCACCAAAATCCTAGGTTCCCCAATATTATATCGTATGTGTTGTTAAACAAAAGACTCACGCTTTTCTTATGTAAAGAAAACAGACAGCAAAATGTACAGAATTTCCTGCATAGTTCTCTAATGGTAAGAGAAGACTTGTTCTTTTTTTTGCAGAGGGTGTTCCTAGCGGATAACTTCCTTACAAATTCAATCAACTCTATCAAAAATCTTCCAATCAACATCTTGAATCATTGACGTTTGTCCTAATCTTAGCAACCTCGGATTAGAATACTATATTATTTTCAACATGAGTTTCATACCAAATAACAAAAAAAAAAAAATGTGACATATCTCATCATTTTGTTTTGTTTTTTCCTTTAAGCAACAAACACATTCTGATCATTGTCTATAATTTTCTGATGAGATATGATATGACGCATATGCATGCTTATGTGTATATAGATATTTATGAATGTGTGATTCATATCTTCATGATTAGAAATGTCAATAGAAAGTTCGTATTGTTCCATCTTATTATTCACATTACATCATATGATGATCGTCAAGCATGAAATAGGAGCATGCAAGGTGTTATTTAATCAAGAAAAGTCATCAGATTTTTTTATTTTGTCCTTTCGATCAAATTTTCTTCGTTTTCTTTTTTTATCAATGTTTTATTTAAATGAAAAACTAGACAGATGGTGCATGTCTTTTTTTCACATATACACTCGAAATCATAGAGAGAGAGAGAGAGAGAATATTTAACTGTGAATTATTTGATTCGATTAGAACATCATTATTATACGCCTTTTTCTTTTTTGGCTTGAGGATTAAATCGAAAATAGTATTTCGATATCAACCGCCTATCAATTTTCTTGTTCGTTGATCGATTACGTGATCGATAGAATATTTCGGACGACAAACATCAAAAGAACAAATCATATACATCGATATTCATTGCTCGGACATTTATTATACAAGGTGTGTCGGCGACACTGTTGGATGAGCAGTATATATATATATATATATCGGCAACACGCGACAGACAAATGTTGCGCGCTATTTCTGCCTGAAGCGAGGCGACACGCGTACTCATGATGGAGATCGATGATAGCTTGTATAGAGAAATTAGCTTTGATCCTCTCAATGCATGATCAGATGTGCTTTTTTGATAATTGAAGACAAATAATGTGTATTCAAATGTATCATAGTTTACCTTCATGCTTTTCCTATGTACTATATAATGATTTTCTCTGATGTTGTTTTACTTATATAGTATAACGTGTGAATATATCGGTGAATAATTGATGTTTTATTCACACTAATCAACTTCATAAAATGTACGTGTTTCTTTTAGAATTGGACATTTATTAAATGTAGAAAAGTTTGTCTGACACAAGAAAACAAAAGATGAAGTTTAACACTATGAATATATCATTTACTGAAAATATCCACCTAGAATTGTAAAAGTAGGTATAAACTATCGTCATGAGTAATAAAGACAATAAACATAACTCTTTAAGATTAAATACAAAAGTCTAATTTTCAAACAAAAATAATACTATTGATTTTTGTTGAATGTATAAATTGGTGTACCATATAATAAGCTTAAATGAGCAAGCAGTAATGATGAACAAAAGACCAAAAAGTTCTGATAGATGCGTTTATTTTTCGGTAGCTTTTGAAATGGATTCTATCTCATTTAGTAGTTTCTCTTGAGACTAAACTAGAGCTCGTGCACACCTACAAGAGATCACAGTGTTATATTCAAAAAAAACCATTAAAACGGCTATAATTCAAGAAGAAAGACTCATAGGTACTTTTACTAGTCTTAAGGAGACCTATCTAATGAAATAAAACCAAAGAGAAAAAAAAGCAAAATTTCACTGCTTCGAAATACTGAAGTCTTGCTTTTTCCGCCTTGGATAGAATTCATCTTGAAAGCAAGTTGTTACTTGCCGAGATTACTTTGTTAGTTAAAAAAACGTTTCTTGTTCGATGCTAATAAAAAGTATGACGAAAAGTACCTATCAACACATCTTGTGAACTATTATTGTCCTTGTAGAAAAGTTGAATAATCGCATCTACCTAGAAAGAGTGTATTTTGTGTTTCAATTTAAATTCTTTATGTTACAATACGATGGACAAAGCAAATCAGTTATCTATGATTCTGAGATTTTAGTTGATGATTCTATAGACACTAGTAAAAACTTTCATCAACTATACAAGTTCTTTTAATATCTCGAAACGAATGTTAATTTCAATTTTTGATAGATTATAATTATTCAAAGCTATCTTAAAGGAATTTTAACTTTATATAAATATATTTTTCAAAGTTGTCAAATTCAACATTTTATTTTATGAATTCTCGTTTATCGTAAAACTTATAAGATTGAATTAGGAAAAGATTTTAAAAATTTATTCAGACAATACAATAACAAATTTATAAACGAAAATTTTCAATGAATATATTATTAGTAAAGGTAAACATTTTTTCTTTCTCCTATTATATGATTATTTCATATCCATTACTTTGACAGATATAAAATATTGTATTCTGTTTTGAAAAATGTACTAAGGTATATAGGATACAATTTTATTATTTTTTTTTTATAAAAAATTCTAACTTATTTCATTCAAATTTCTATGATAAAATATAAAAAACCATGCTAATAATAATACTAATATGTCTATAAATAATTGAGAACATTTATTTGTTCTTAAACGAAAAATATCAGTTAAATTGTCGAGTGATCCAGCTGTTGCATATGGATTCGATTTAAGATGCAAAATTTTGCAAGCTATATGATAAATATCAACATTTTTCAGTGAATGTATTTCAATATGTTGATTAAAATCTGGACCTTGTGCCATAAATATAGCTTGCATCGATGGAAGTTTATTATCATATCCATGATTACCTTTTAGAGCAGGTATTTTCATCATTGACTAATATATTAAAAATTCGTGAATATATCAGTGATTATAATAAAAAAAAAAAAACTTAATTTTACTTGCGAAAAATAGAGGCCTTCATTATCAGGTACGACAATTATTTCTCCAAGTCGATAGATTGCTTTTGCATAATGATATTCTTCTGGAAATTCATCACGTTTATAAACTGTAACACCAGGAATATCACGTAAACCATTGAATACTTGTTCAAACTATTTTGTTTTAATATAAAAAAATTCTACTATTCAATGTATATCTCTGAATTGAATAATTTCCCTCACAAAAGTTATCTTGAATATATATAGATATAGAGATTTATTTTTAAGAGTTTAAAAAGTTTATTGTAAAGTGTGTCTTCTCTAGAAATGCACGAGATCATTTTTTTTTTAGTCCCAGTCTCAATAACTTCTTTTCTAGTAGTTCTGTTTATGACCTCGACAAATCTAATCTGATCTCGGTCCTAGTCTCAACAACTTCTCGTGATATCACACATCCTCTAATCTTTCTTTTCATAGAAATCTTATTTTGTCTTGAAATATATGAACTTCATATTTAACTGTTTGATGTGTCTTTTTTCATTCAAAAAAAGAAATCCTCCTTAATTAGACAAACTTACTTCTCCTGAACGAGGAGTAAGACTAAATATTGGACCATCAAGAATATTGTCTTCAACTGCTGATCTATTGATATAACCTTCACGAAATGGTTGAATTACTCGTACAATATTAGTCATTCCCTAGAACAAAAACAAGATAAAAAATATTAGTTTTGTTATTTTTTTTTTCAATATTATCCTTGTCAATTACATGATCAGATAGAATAATAATATTTAAATCATCATTAAGTTCAGTTTTGACTTTGTTTAATAAATAATTCATATCATTATCAAGACGAAAAAGCTATATAAAACAAAAAATACGAATCATAAATAAATTTAGAAAACAAAAAATCTATATTAACTGCATCACGAGTTTCGTTTGAATCAGGACCATATGTATGACCTTGTTTATCAGGTTCACTTATTTATAATAAAAGAAATTCTTTTTCTTTTTTTTTGTTTTTTGAAAATATTTTCTTTTACATTAACTTACAAATGATAAAGCATAGCTAATTGAATACGATTTTTACGAAAATAAGAAATAGCACTATCTATCTTTTCACGTATCGAAATAGTATCAGAATATGACGTAGTATAGAAAAATGGACGAACACCATTAAACGCATTATGAGATGCTGGCCAATAAATTACAGCAGATTTTTTATTCTAAATTAATATAATAAAATTTATTTGAAAATTATAAGAAAAAAAATATTCTACTTGTTTTGTTGCCGTGATCCATATAGGTTCAACTCTAGGATCGGACCATTGTCCTTCATCTTGAGTATCTATTTACAAAAAAAAATGATTTATAATCAATAAATAATATATTTTTATTTACCAAATGTAACTAATTTTTGAAGTTTTGTATCAAAAAATCGATTATGAATAATACCATGATCTTCTTGATACATTCCTAAATTTTCTCAATATTTGTATATATAAGAATAAATATTTTTAATTCATTCTACCTGTTGCAATTGATATATGATTTGGAAATGTCATTGTTACAAATGTTGGTTGCATTCCATTTGTTGTTTTAATACCTTGATTTTGTATACGATTTAATGTTTGAAATGAATATGTATTTAAATAATCATGACGAAATCCTTATTAAAAAAAAAAGACAAAACATAATAAAAAATAGGAAATTATATGAAAATTTTTTTCTTTTCACCATCAAGTGATACAATTAATAAACGAGGATGACTTATTGCTGATGATATTGTTTCAAAACAATATGTAATTGGAATGATATGAATTATTATTGCTAATAGAAAGTATTGATTCGTCATAGTCAATATAAAACACAAGTAACAAATGATGGAGAATTTTTTTTGGGTGTCAATATAACTAAGCCAAAAATAAATAAAAGAAAGAAATATTACAGATGATATGCATAACGTTTACATATGCTTTTGTTTTGGATTTTTCTTTTTTATCATTAATCATATTTTTTCTCTTTATGTGATATATATCTACTGCCTTAGAGAATGAATAGACATCTGATTAACCAGATAATATTCTATAGATTTTTAGTTTTGGTATATAGCAGATGCAAGGAAATCAAAATGAAACAATAAATAGTAACCACTTTTTTTTTAAAAATCTTTTACTATATAATTTATTTATTAATGCTTGTACTGACAGAAATTGTTAACTAAGTATTTAAATATAGATTTATTTTGATCTGTTTTATATGCATTTAATTGTAAACAACAAAATGTCGATATGTAAAACTATTCAGTTGAAATTTATCTTTTCATGATTGAAAAGTTCACATTAAATGATAAGATTCTTTCCAAAATTTTTCAAATGGCAGTAGGAAAATTAGTTAAATGCATTGTCAAACCATACGATCAAGAATATGCATATGAAAAAACATAGTAAATATTAATGTACTTAATTTATGATAATATCCAAAATTTAACTATAAACATTGAGTAAAATATATTGTCTATATTAGTACGTAGGATAAATTTAATATAGATATTTATATGATAGAATGATTGAAAGCTATTGTCTATCTACGATTGTTTGAAACACTAAATTAAAATTCATTTTAATTTTATACATTTATTGTATGAAATTGAACTTTGTCCTTTTCAATTACCGTTAAGAGCAAATAAGAATGTATGCCGATAATAGTTGTCAACTGCACTCAATTGTTCTTGATACGATGTAGTAGTAAAAAAAAATAACTGTGAATGTGAAAATGTTACATATGATTTTAATCTATTTGAAAACAAAGAGAATGAAAATAAGACTGACAAAAAAAAAATATTATCTTTACCAAATATTAAAAAAAATGAGTATGTATCAAAGACCTTTCGGAAAAGATAAAATGCTAATCTGTAGTGTTCAACATGGAAACGAGGAAATGCAAACATATTCTATCATTTACAGGGGCGGCGCGAAGAGCTCAGAGCAGGGGGGGGTATTATGAAAAATGGGAGAAAATAGAAAAAAGTCTCTAAATTGTAAGTACCTAGTACCTTTTTTTTACTAGTGTTTTTGAAAGCAAGTAGATAGGTAGATTCTTCTGTTATCAATTACAAAAAATGGAGAACATTGTAATAAAGGTTCTTCAGAACCGGAAGAAGTTCAAAATATATCTTCTCAGAAGTTGAAAAATTTTTCAGACATTTTCTCCAAACTTGGAGAAATTTTGAGACATTTTTTCCAAAATTGAAGAAATTTTGGGACATTTTCTCATTAACTGGAGAAATTTTAAGACATTTTCTCTCAAATCGGAGAAGTTTTGAGACATT